GCTCAGGTCATGATCCCAGGGTCCTGGGATCGAGCCCCACATCAGGCTCTCTGCTCAGCAGGGAGCCTGCTTCCCTTCCTCTCTCTGCCTGCCTCTCTGCCTGCCTGTGATCTCTGTCTGTCAAATAAATAAATAAAATCTTTAAAAAAAAAAAAATAAAAAAAAATAAAAGTTTATTGCTCCATGACAATGTACTTGCTCACCCAAGATTTCTGATAGAGATGTACAAGATTAATGTTTTCATGCCTGTAAACACAATATCCATTCTGTAGCTCATGGGTCAAGGAGTAATTTTGAATTTTGTGTCTTATTAATTAAGAAATACATTTAATAAAGCTATAGCTCCCATAAATAATGATTCCTCTGATAGATATGAGGAAAGCAAATCAAAACTTTCTGGAAAGGATCCATTATTCTAGGTCTACTGAGAACATTCATGATTCACGGGAAGAGGTCAAAATATCAACATTAACAGGAGTTTGGAAGAAGTTGATTCCAATCCTCATGGATGACTTTGAGGGGTTCAAGACTTCAGTGGAGGAAGTAACTACAGATGTGGCAGAAACAGCAAGAGAACTAATTAGAAGTGGAACCTGAAGATATGATTGACTTGCTGTAATCTCATGATAAAACCTTAACAAATGAGGAGTTGCTTCTTATGGATGAGCAAAGAAAGTAGTTTCTTGAGATGGAATCGATTCCTGATGAAAATTCCATAAAGAGTGTTGAAATGACAACAAAGGATTTATAATATTACATTAACCTTAGTTGATAAAACAGTGGCAGGGTTTGAAAGAATTGACTTCAAGTTTGAAGGAAGTTCTGTTGTGGGTAAAAAGCTTTCAAACAGCAATGCATACTACAGAGAAATCATTTGTGAAAGGAAGAGTCCACTGATGAGGCAAACTTCATTGTTGTCTTATTTATAGAAGTTGCCAGGGCACCTGGGTGGCTCAGTGGGTTAAAGCCTCTGCCTTCGGCTTCAGGTCTGATCCCAGGGTCCTGGGATCAAGCCCCACAATGGGCTCTCTGCTCCACAAGAAGCCTGCTTCTCCCTCTCTCTCTGCCTACTTGTGATCTCTGTCTGTCAAATAAATAAATAAAATCTTTAAAAAATTTTTTTAAAAAAAGTTGCCACAAGGGAGCCTGGGTACCTCAGCTGGCTGATTCTTGATTTTGGCTCAGGTCATGATCTCGGGGTTGTGAGATCAAGCCCCTGAGATGGGCTCCATGCTTAGGAGGGAGCTTGTTAAAAATTTTCTCTCTCCCTCTCCCTCTGTGTCTCCCTCTCAGTCTCCCTGCTCACACTCACTTGCATGTTCTCTCTCTAAAATAAATAAATAAAAATCTTTAAAAAAACAACAACAACAACAACAACAATTGCCACAGCCACCCCAGCCTTTGGTAACCACCACCCTGATCAGTTAGCAGCCATCAATATGGAGGTAAGATCCTCCATCAGAAAAAGATTATGGCTTGCTGAAAACTGAGACAATGGTTAGTAATTTTTAGCAATAAAGCATTTTCAAATGAAGGCCTATACATTATTTGTTTAGACATAATTCTATTGTGCACTTAATAGACTACATTATAGTGTAAGCATAGATTTTATATGCACTGGAGAATACAAAAATTCATTTGATTTGCTTTATTGCAGTGGTTTAGAATACCTTCGAGTTATGCCTGTATATCCTGGCAAAGAGAGGATTGTGATTTGAAATATGGTGGTGATATCAGAGATAAGAGAAGACAGAGGATGGGAGAGATGAGAGAGGATGGGAGAGATAAGAGATACCAATGGGGGAAACCTATAAGAGCTAGTTTTCTACATTGAAGAGAGTGAAGGAGAGGGAGGATCCCTGGAAGCTCTCAGAACTCGGCAATATTCAGCTAGGCAGATGGCTATTCCACTTGCTGAGAAGGGAAACAGTGCAAGACAGACTGATTTGATGCGGAGAAGATTCAAAAGTCAGTCGTGAACATATTAATTTTGATCTCATTATCTCTTTGATCTCCATGAGACATGTTAGGTAGGTGATTGGATATTTGAGTCTGGTCAATCTTTGGACTTGCTGCAGCAGAATCACTTGGAACTTTTGATTATCTGTCTCTACCTTAGGCCTAATATACTGGAATCCTCAAGAGGACATAGCCAGCACAATACCCTGAGTTTAGATGCAGTGGAAAAAATTCAGTCATCACTTGACTAGTTAACATTTAAGCTCCTTGAACACATTGAAAACCTATAATGTTACGAATAGAAAGACAGCCAGACCAAGTACTAAATCTGTTATTACATTCTAAGAATAAATGTGCTGGGGGCGCCTGGGTGGCTCAGTGGGTTAAGCCGCTGCCTTCGGCTCAGGTCATGATCTCAGGGTCCTGGGATCGAGTCCCACATCGGGCTCTCTGCTTGGCGGGGAGCCTGCTTCCCTCCCTCTCTCTACCTGCCTCTCTGTCTACTTGTGATCTCTCTCTGTCAAATAAATAAATAAAATCTTAAAAAAAAAAAAAAGAATAAATGTGCTGGACAAACAATGAAACACCTCTGAAGGAAGAGAGCCATATAAAGATTCTTCTTTTTACATTGCCATATTTGTATCAGATGGTGCTGCCACCTTGGCCACAAACTAATTGATCCAAGTACCAGGCCCTAAAAGGCAACCACCCAATGATTCCAGTGGTCCTTGAAATAATCTTTCTTAAGAACTCAGCCCAAATGATGCACCATTCTGGATGGAAATTAATTTACCAAATCATATTTTCTTCTTTGACCAGAGGGGAGGGGAATGGGAAAAATTAAAACTAGAAAAACAGAAGCATTTGGATAAGTAGACCTGGACATGTCTCTGTTTCCTGAAACCTGGTGGAGACATAAGTACCACTGCTGCTGAAAGAGAAAAATTAAATGCACTTAGGAGATAGGAGACTAATCTGTCCATGCATTAATTGAAATAGAAATAGGTGGTATGTAGCATCTCTCCCTTCCTGCCACTTTGGTCTCTGTACCTGGTAATTCCTCACAATTGAGCAAACGAAGGGAGAAAGAAGGAATTTGGCCAGTTTGTTTTTGTTTTGTTTGTTTTGTTATATTTTGTTTTGTTCTACTAACCAGTTATTTGCTGGGTAATTTTTTTAGAACTATTAATCACATCTGCTGAGGCTTTGCTCTCCCAGCAAACTTTTTTTTTTATGCTCAATAATGTATAATGATGTTCCACTGCAATTTGAAGAATTACACATTTCAGAGCAATTGTATTATTGTATTTAGCATCTCAATAACATTTCCTATGCTAATTCATCTTTCTTATGATTGAAGCTTCTTAATGTGCTCACAATGCACCATATGTTACCATAGCTTAATCTTGTCTTGAAATATTCATTTCTAGCTCTTGGGGACAGGTAGACTGAATAAAACATGCGGATTTGGCTTTCTCTTTCTCTCCCCACTTTTTTTTTTTTTTTTTTTTTTAAATTAGAAGCAGGAGATTTATCCAGGTATTTACTGGTTATAAATGAGGGCCTAAGTGGCTTATAATAACACCCTGGTAGCCTCTTGAAAGAATTACTGTGCTTTCCCAAGCCTTTAACTCATGACCAAAATGACTGTCACTGAATGGCCATCTTGGAGGGACAGACAGTAGTAAAGTAAGGTCACATGTGAAAATATGCAATATGACTAACTTCCCTAAATGTTAGGATCCCACATTCTTATGATATTTGAGAGCTAAATATAATGAAAGCCCTTGGGGCTTTCATTTTAAGAATTTCCTTTAAAAATAATATTATTATTCTCTGAGGACAGGAGAACAGTATTACTTTATTTAGTTAAGCCATCCTAAAATAGAACAGAGGAAATCATTAAATAGTGAACATATATCTTTTACTGTTTTCCATTCATGCCAAAACTGGTGTGTCTTAAAAATACAAGATGGCTTGCAATAGGAAATATATCTTCAAATAATGATATTTATCTTTGGAGAGGGAAACCTGATACTCTCAATAATTACCCCAGAACAAAGTGCAATACTGATAACCGTGTTATTTACTGCGGTCTTACAAACAAACAAACATGGTATTTTATAGCTGCACAGGAAGAAAGTTTATTGAAAGCAGTTATTAATGTGTCCATTTATATTCTACCTCCCTGGAAAAAGCCTCACATCTAGAAAGAACACAGAGTGGAAAATTTCACTCCCAATGTAGACATCTCTCCAGACTCCAGAAGAAACTGCTCATCTGGCCTCTCCTGTGGTTGAAACTGAGCTTGATGAGCCACCGGGCCAACGGCCCAAGTGACAGACTGGAACAGGAGCTGCTGGACCGAGCACACTCTGCCTCATGTCAGGAACATTTTTGTGTGAGAAAGAAAAGAGGCTTTCCCTGGATCTGGTGTCAGTCAAAGTTCTAACATACTTAGATATTCTTTTAGCAGTTCCAGTTTTGGGGGAGAAATCTGGGAAAGTGCCAAGATCTGAGCTGGCATTTTTAGTTGTTATTTGAATAGCTGTTACATAAACAGCTAGTAGCTGGCTGATTGGGTTTCTTAGAGCTACTCTTGACACAAGGCAAGGAGGCAACACTTTACATTAAATTTGCCCCAAATTCAAGTTATTCTTCTTCACTAAGAAATAAGCTAAGAAAAAAAAAAATAACAATGGTCTGGCACCATGGACAAGAATAATTAGGGATTCTGCAAAGATCCCTTCAAGAAAATATGTGAGGAAGGGTAAAAGAAAAATCTTTGTCATTATCTTGGAAAATGAAAATCTCCAGACTGAAATTCTGAGACATCTCTTATTCCTTCTTTAGCTACCCATTTTAGTCTTGATGAAACTTAAGTTATAGGTGGATAAAATATCTTACTGAAAGTCTCATTATTAAGTTATAGAGCTGAGACTAGATCCAGATTATGATCAAGCATTTGGTCAAGAAAACAGGCAGACTGCCAGCCATAAATTCAACACTCACAGCAACCCGAAACAGTACCTGAACAGTACCTTTCATGGCCGGTGGTGTGTACACGCTCTGCTTCCTTTGCTTTGGGGATGCATTTTGTGACTGTGGACAAAGAGAAAAGAGGAAAAGCATTATTTGAATAAAAATTAGCCCTGTGAGGGAAATAAACATTGTGCCATATTTCAAAGAGCTTTCTGATTCCCCCTATTATGATATATAACTCAAATCAATGAGAAATTACAGACATGTTCGCTGACAGCACAGTTTTAAGAGATATATAAAGCGATTTTTATCATAAAACTCTTCATCGCAGTCTTGAAATTACTCTTTTTTGTCACCTAGTATCATTCATTTATTTTTAAAAGAAAGAAAAGAAGAGACACCAATCTCTTTTGAGGAAAAAAAAACACAACTCCAGAACAATGTATACTCCAAAAGCTATGTCCATGGGATAACTATACCTGCTCATAGGAGTTTTGAGTGGTTCTGGTTAGATAATGAGGGCTTTGGTATGTAATATCAATTATAAACTTCTGGAATTGATACGTTCAAGTTAACATCTACATTTACTTGGAATTACAATGTTGAGATAATATTCTCTTCTATTTTCAACAGATAAATAAGTCTTTTCCTAACAAAACTGGTGTGTAATACTTTCACCTACATACACTAGATCAGAGTTGAATGATTGATGAGAGAATTTTTGCAATAAAAATTACAAAAATTGGAACAAAAAACACATGTCGTGGTTAAAACCACAAACTAATCATATATATATGAATATATAAATAATATTATTTATTATGATAAAATACATATATGTGGTCTACATCCCAATCAGATTATGTCAAAGATTCCTTTTTCTTAGTGTATTGATTTATATTTCAATGTGGCAAAGGCAGTGGTCTTAATCAATGAGCTTTCATGTCTGGATCATTTTTGCTTTGAAAAGGTTAGAAATAAATATTTACAAGACTTTTTTGGGCAATTATTCTAGGCAAAACTAGAAACTGTTTCATTGACAGTACATAGAATTTGAGGTATCTTCCCTTATACACACTAAAGGTTATTTGCCCTTGAAAGTATCATCAGGATACACTTGCTTGATGCAAAAACAATATATTAAAAAGTAAAAAAAAAAATTCAACCAATAGTTGTTAAATCTATATCAGCCAAACAAATAGTACAAACAAATTTCTCCAAAACAGAATGTTTCAGTACCACCAGTTCATTATGCACAGGTATAGACAGAGTGACTCTATGTTAATGTTCAGCGTGTGGATGATTGATATTGCTGGCATCCCTTTACTGTATTCGGTCTCATCTGGTTGATTTTAAAAAGCAATAACTTTTTGGATTTCTCACATGTTTATTTCCCTATACACACTCAAAGATCAAGTAGAAAATTAATCCTATAGAAAAGTTTGTTTAGTACCACGTAGTAAAACTTATCAAGTAATAAAATCTGCTTTATATGTATGTAAGAGTTCAGTTGTCAAGGCATTTTCACATACACAATCTCATTAAATTTTTAGAAAATCTCAAGAGATACTATTTGGTATTTTGTTCTTTCTACATTTTCTTCCGGGTATTGCTCTATGCCTAACTAATACAGCCATGGAATTGACTCATATGTCTGCAGACTGGTCAATATTTGTTCTATTTTTTAGCATAATTTACTCACTTCCTTGTATCCAATATATTTTATATTATCAGCTCTGCAAGCTTCCCCTGGTTCCTATCTACTATCTGAACTCCCCCATGTGTATGTTAACCTCTAGCCTCAAGGTCTTCTCTTGGCTTCACATACCAGAAGACACTTTAAGAGGTGCCTGCTCCCTATTTTCTTGCTCTAGGACTCCAACATTGGCAGGCCTTAGCCTGTAGTTGGTCATAAACAACTAGTCACTAAATTAAAAATATCAATACCATTATCTTGTCACTAAAAGCAAAGGTTTATTTGACAAGTTTTTTCAGGGGTTGGCATTTCATAGGTCGAGAACGAAAGTAGCACAGAGGCAGAGAATTAACAACCCCATTTTACTATTTCTTCAGTCAGGAAAAGCAAAGTACTTTCTATATCAGTTGTACTGACATATTTTATAAAACATTAAGCCTGCCTAATTATGTTTCTAATTGATTTGAATACCTATTTATACAAAATATAAGAAAACTTACCTCGGCTTGGGTGTTGGTCACCCTCTTGTCATCTATTTCTGCAAAAGAAGTAGATATATTTCATTAGAAAGATTATTTCTTCTTTATAATATGCATGTTAACATTTTTGGCAATTTGATAAAAATAATTAAATAATCTCCTTATGTTTTTTTTTCTATTTCTTTTTTTTTTTTTAAGATTTTATTTATTTATTTGTCAGAGAGAGAGAGGGAGAGAGAGCGAGCACAGGCAGACAGAATGGCAGGCAGAGGAAGAGGGAGAAGCAGGCTCCCTGACGAGCAAGGAGCCCGATGTGGGACTCGATCCCAGGACGCTGGGATCATGACCTGAGCTGAAGGCAGCTGCTTAACCAACTGAGCCACCCAGGCGTCCCTAATCTCCTTATGTTTTTAAAGACTTTATTTATTTGACAGAGAGACAGAGAGCACAAACAGTGGGAGTGGCAGAAAGAGGGAGAGGGAGAAGCAGACTCCCCGCTAAGCAAGGAGCCCTGTGTGGCTTGATCCCAGGACCACAGGATCATGACCTGAGCCAAAGGCAGATGCTTGGCTACCCAGGTGCCCTGCCTTATGTTTATTTAATCTCTGTGGCTTAGGGAAAGGGGGCAGAAGGAGATGGTTTTCTTTTGAGATAATCTTTTCCCTAAGTTTAAAAAAAAAAAAGCATTAAAAAAAAAAAGGCATCTCTCTTGAAATTCCAAATTGCCCTCCTTCCAGTAATCCAGAAAGGAAACCAGGGAAATGGCTCTTGAACCAACTGTTGGTGTCATCAACCTCACAGTTTTAAGGCATAAACAATCTCCTTTGTGAATTTTGCTGCCCGTCTGCTCACTGTAGCTTGTCAAATTTCCCCAAGCTGGGCACTAAGCTGAACAAAGCTCCTTTTCCATTCTGTCCTATCACTGACTCAGAGAGTGGCAGCACCCTCTTTTCCATATGCTCCTGGAAAGAATGTTACTTTGTCAGAAATATTGCTTATAACAAACCTAGGGAAATGTGTAGGCTATCTCTATAAAAAGGAAATGTGAGAAGGAGGAGAGAGGAGTAAGAGGTGCTCATGTATTGCCCTTCAATGGGTGGAGGACCTCTGGGCTGAGTTTCTTTCATACCTCTTCATCTACTCTACATGGATCTTGACTTTTTTTTTTTTTAACATTTAAATGTTTAGTTGACTTCCTTAAAACATCTCTCTCTCTCTCTCATCTGTACTGCAGAGGTTGGATTTCTCTACATTTCAAAAAAATAGGACTTGAAGGGGAACCTCTGTGGCTCAGTCAGTTAATTGTCCCACTCCTGATCTCAGCTCAGGTCTTGATCTCAGGGTGATGAGCTCAAGCCCCAAGTCGGGCTTCACCCTGGGCATGGAGCCTACTTAGAAAAGAAAAAAATAGGACTTGGAGACTCTCTTCTCCAACCAAACTGCAGCCAGATGTTGTGCAATCCCTGACTACCAGGTCCCAGGGACTACTGCAGCATTGCAACTACTGGAAGTGGTCAATGTGGATTCCCATTTGGGGCCCCTGACAAGGATAGGGGGTGATTGTTCAAACTTGCAAACCACAAAGCTATCCTATATTGCCAAAGCCATCTGACTTCAATTCTCCTGAAACATCCAGACATGTAGAAACTTAGTCTTCTACCTTTTAAAATGTTCAGAGGCTTTGCAGTTACCCCAGCCAGCAATTGTAAGAAATCCTGCCCTACGCTGGGCAGGGCTGACTGGCCCTCCAGTCCCTGTGAGGAGGCAGTCCGGTGCTGGCTGTCACAATGGTAACTGCTAATCTCAGGGAACACAGGAGAGAGGTAGGAACACTAACCTGGTTTTCCTACAGAAGGCTGCGTTTAACCTTCTTGCACTTTATCCTAATGTTCGCTTCAGTGGGAAGGTAAACCTTTTATTCCACTGAGTGGCATATTTAATACTGAAGGCAGGATATTGAGCTATGCTCAGTGGCAATAAATTTGGTCAAGTTTAAGAAAAAAGTCCTAGACTTTGCACCGCGTATGAATTTTGGCACTAAATTCACATCCAAAGAAACATGCCTCAACATGGGCTCTGTCTAAAGCTCTTATCTGGGTGGGATCTTGGAGGGCCTCCAACCAGAAGAACCCAGATGTCCCGCACAGGTGTGTGTCTTCGCTCCACAACGCAGCCGACGGCTTGAGAGTCAGCAGGTCAGTCAAATCCCCCGGAGCGGCCACTGCAGGCTTCCCGCAGAACATTTCAGAAACAACTCTGTGGCTGTCTTCTAGCTTCGCATTGCACATGAGTATGCACAGGTCCGAGGGCCGCTTTCTGGAACGGGTCGCCAGCACCTGTCTCCCTACATCGTGGAAGATGAGTCCACACTCCAGGTTCAGCATGAGCATGGACAGGAGCCGCACCTTGGTTCGCTCCAGCGCCACCACCCCCACATTCCAGCCATTAAACTGAATTTCTTCGGGATGATTTCCACCCTTCCTCGAATCTGTCCAGGGTCGGCCCAGGCGTGGACGCACATGAACCTCTCCAGGTCCGTGTCTCTGTAGCTGTGTGCGTGTATGTTTGGGGAAGGGGGCGGTGTTTCTGGGGGGTACAAGCAGGGGTGGTGCCTGTTGAGCACACGGACGTAGAGCCTGGCTGACACTCCCGTGCTGAGCCGCCGACGTGCGTGAGCTCGGGGAACCGGCAGGGCCCGGGCTGACGTTGGACAGGTCGTTTTCCAGCCTGCAACCTCTGGCGATGGACTATAACAGCGATCTGTCCGCCTCCTCAGCCTCCTCGCAGGCCCAGGCCCAACGGGTTCCCGGGAGGTTCTTCCTGGCGCATTGCACCAGCTGCGCATGCTCCGACTCACCCCAGCCTGCGCGGTGGGGTCTGGGGTGTGGTTAGTAGTTTGAGAAGAAAGAAGGGCTTCACCATCCATCTTGGCTGTGTTTTCAGCGGCACAGAAACGGTGGAGACCCACTGTGTTCTCCCGGTAAGCGGCCTCAGGAATCCCCTTGGGGAGAAGTGGTTCTGGGTCAGGCCGCCTATGGAGGGCCTCCCGCTCGGATGGACAGGTGTTTGCATCTTCCCCAGTGAGCCTGGACTGTGGGAGCATGCAGGCAACAAGACGGCCGCAGTGTGCCGGCCTCTCCAGTCAGCAGACGCGGCGCACGCGGCGCTCTCGACGCCTGGAGGGCCACAGAGAAGAGCCCGCGCTTTTCCAAGGTAAGCAGAACTTGTCCTTTGCTCAGATCCACCAGAAGGCGAAAATGACAGTTTTTCCACTAAGCTGTTTTGCCGCAGATCTCTATATTGAATCAGGAAGAATGCCTACCGTACAAAATTGTCCACGCGTGTTTGGGGAGGCCACCCGGAAGCGAGCGATCCGTTGTGATTACTTCAGTTTCAAACTTTTCCTGTCCATCCCCTGGAGCCAAAATGGGCGTGGGCACTGCGGGTACGGGTGAAGAGAGTGGGGTACTGGGGAAGAGCACCGCCGCTGCTGACTTGTGTGTGTGCGCGCCAGCTCCAGAGCCTGCCTCCCGCTGCCTCCCCCACTTTAGCCGCCGTGGTGTGGGGGGGTGGGTCTCCCCGCCTCTTGACTTACTGGCCCAGTTACCCTTTCCTGACTCTTAGATGAGTGCCAAAGCTGAGAGACTGAGTCCGTGGTCCGAAAACTGAATGAGTTCATCAAAGAATAACTGCCTGAAGACGGTGATGTAGATCTGCATTTACTGACATGAAAACATATACTATGTAGATTAAAAGGATTTCAAAACTATACATATGTAATTTTTATTTCATGAAGTATAGATAAACTATCTAGAGAGAGGCGATAGAGAAATGCCTGTATATTCATAGGATATAGTCAGTATTGTAACTGTAGTGCCTCTCGATGATTCCATAACTTGTTCTGTCTCCTCTCTATCTGCACTGTTTCTTATTCTAGTGAACCTGCGTTACTTTTATAATGAAAAACTATGTGTATCATGTGGATATATAGAGACACATATATGTAGTAAAATTTCTATATAAGATCACAGTGGTATTTCATATAATAAGAGACTAAAATAGACAAGCAGCAAATAAATTAATTAAATAAATCTAAAAAATAAAAAATAGATAAGCAGCCAGAATGAATAGTGTATGGATATGGGTATGGATAGATAAACAGCTAGAATGAATAATAGTGATTATTCATTCTAATTTAATGTTTTGAGTACTAGATTTTTTAGAAGTTATGAAACCTAATGAATTTACCCTCCCTTGTATAGCGGTAGGCAAACAAATTATTGGCTGAGGACAGCAATCACAATTGTTTGATATAATCACTGGAAGTATCTGGGTGATTATCAGATAGCTGTGACTATACTAAATTGAGCAATTCTATCAATGCAAAATCTTTTGCTGTCATCTTTTAAGTAAATGTCAAATATGATCCATTTCAACAATGCATGTATTATGATCCATTGGATTGTTAAATGCCAGTGGTGTTTCTTTTCTTTTCTTTTCTTTTCTTTTTTTAAATCTGTTTATTTCTTTTAGAGAATACAGTGGGGAGGAACAGAGGTAGAGGGAGAGAGAAGCTCAAGAAGACTCCACCCTGAGCTGGAGATTACTCTGGGCTCCATCTCAGACACTGAGGTCACAACCTGAGCTGAGACCAAGAGTCAGAGGCTTAACCTAATGTACCACTCAGGCACTCCGACCAGTGGTGTTTCTTAATATTTTGTTTATTCCCTAGGAGTTTTCAGAATTCAGCCCAGGACTCAGAACCTATTGCTTTAAGGACAAAATGGTATCTAGTCATTCAGCCTTGTGCTTTCCTGCTGTATGACTAAAACACAACCTAAAACAGTGTCTTTCCAAGGCGACTGTGTAGACTTCATTTGTTGCATAATTCAATGAAAAAGGTTTTTATTCTTCTTGGTTCATTTTTCTTATTAATATTTGTCTTGAACAGATTAGGTTAGCCAGATAAAAGTCCTTTTTAAAAAAACACAGAATTTTGTTTTACATTACAAGCCTGTTTTGCATGACTCCACAATAGCTTATATTTCTTCTCTACTCT